TTGGTATTCTGTTCTGTACTTCCTTGTCTCTATTAGCTCTGCTGTCAACAAGTTCTGGTAAAGCATATTGCATAATTTTATTTTGCATGTTTTCTTCCCAAAAGCTGTCATTATGAGGAATTGTCTCCAATTTTATTCCTCGAGGAGTCCAAACACACAAAATGCAAAAAATCCATTTATTATGTGCAGCTAGCCCTGAATTTAAAAATACCAATTGTGGTTCTCTTTAATGGTATTGTCCTTTTTCCAAAAAGTTATTTCTCTACTGCATATTCCTTCTTCTACAGTCAGCACTCTAGCTCCCATGTGGACATTATAAAACTCTATCTTAGAGTTTTGTTTTTTTTTATTCCATTCGGACTGGCAGCAACATAATCAAATTTGGAATCAATAAAAAGTCCACATTTAAAAACTGGCTTATATTATTGCGTAATCGTCAATAAGTTACGAGTGATCTAAATTTTCAAGATATCATTTTCAATTGCTGTGACATGGTAAAAATCTATTTATTATTTTTAATTTAGAAAATGATTGCTCTCCAGATGTAACTGTTGTAAATTGGGGAATAATGATAATCAATTATTATATTTATATTCAAAAAGTAAATGTACATTAATACCTGGACTTAAAAGTTATTTACAGCCTGTGGCGGCTCGTGGTTGGATGTTCTGCAAGATTCTGTCCCCCTCCAAAAAAAAAACCAGCAATCATTATATTTTATTTATTTTAACTTATTCATTTTATTGTTAATTTCTCGTAGTAATTTGTCACTGGTCATTCACCTTATTTATTTCTCTTTTTTATTTATCTCATTCATTTCTCTTATTCATTTTTCTTATTAATTTTTCTTATTAATTTATCTAATTAATTTTTCTTACTCATTTCTCTTATTCATTTCTCTTATTTATTTCTCTTATTCATTTCTCTTATTTGTTTCTCTTATTCATTCCTCTTATTCATTTCTCTTATTAATTTCTGTTCTTCATTTATCTTGGTAATTTATTTTATTCATTTCTTTTACTTATTTTAACATTTGCTGGTAAAACAGAAAATTTAATAAAAAAAAGCCGTTCTCAGTGACTTTATGAGGTCTTAAGTATGGAGAAAAAACACAATTTTCCACATTAATTGTTTTTTCTATTAATCATTTTACCTAATTGTTTTTCTCCCACCATTATTTTAGTCCTAAGAATTTTCACCTTGCACCATAATAACTTCTCCATTAGATGGTTCATAAATTGAACACATGCTAGTTTTAAGGATCTTTTGATGTTCACATCAGTAGTTGTATAATAATTTTGATCAGTCTTTACAGGCCTGAAGATGGCATTAGTCCCGAAACCGCTTGCCATGTAATTTAAATATTATATTTTTTGTGTGGGATTGATTTTGAGTATCATTTCTTAAATTTTTAAATTATTTTGATGAAGTTTATAATTCCGTTCTATACATTGTATCTAACAGATTTAGAACTATTTTTTTTTTTTTTATTTCTGAAGCTGAACCTGTAATGTGAAATTAATATTTTATTAATATTTAAAAATGACATGTTTACTTAATGGTTTTCGATAAGATAGATAGCTTGAGTAAATATTGTTGTATGTCGTTAAATATTTTTTTGGAAATGTATTATAATATTTCTGATAAGACCGGTGCTGGTGATTTATTCAATTTTAAGAAAGATTTGTTTCCAAATATCGGACGTCATAAAATTTCTTTCTAAAATTGTATTATTCCATTGCAACTAAAATTATTCTAACAAGCCTATACCTATGCCTTTTTATTTCATTTTTAAACATAATTGAAATTGAAACTATTTTTGTTGATTTAATTTTATCTTCATCTTTTCCAAATTAAAATAAAACTAATTGAGGAATCCAATACAATTTTATTTGGTGACAAAATGACACATTTTATACTATTGGATACAAAATACACGGGGTGACAATTAAAAAATTTACAATGGCTGTATCATGTGAACTAAAGATATCAAAAAAGTAAAACCTAATAAATACAATATATTTTGTACTCCTGGCTGGACTAGAAATATTTAAAAATATTAAACACATAAACATGACACTCACTATTCTGTTATAATTAACAGTGCTGTTTCAAAAGTGTCGATAGGAAACAGTGACAAAGTCTACACAAAATACACATTTCTGAAAAAAGTAACAAATTAAACTGAGACTGGATAATTGATAGTTCTTACAAAGGCCAAAACACACTAAAAAATAGTTAAACTAAAAATCTAAATAAATTAAGAAATTATTTGAAAAAAATTAGGGGTAAAAATTTGATGATAAAACCAAAATCATTTGAACATTTAAATTTTAACATTGGTCAGACGGATTTTCGTATTTACATACAGTGTGGTACAGCTAAGATGAATAAATTCAGTAGCAAGTAATTTTTTTATGTGTAGGCGTTGTTATTGTTTCCCAGCGCCACTTTGGGAATAGCACTTTTAATTAGAATCCAACAGTGAATGGTCGAGTGGGGAATTCTACCTATGCATTACAATTAATATTTTATTTAATAATTATGTCTGCTATCGCAGGGATTCGAACTTGAGACCCTTCGATCTCAAAGTCATGACTCTAACCACTGAGCCAACCCACCCCAGTATTTTAATTATTGTGTATATTTTTAAAAAATCCCGAATCACGTCATGTTTTATTTTATTCAAGACATTATATAACATAAATAATTCTGCCTCCTCTTTAATGCCGTCCTCGTGACATCTACCCCTTCATTGACAAGGTAATTTTATAGGGAATTAATTAATATGATTGTCCATACAATATTATATGCCTACTGTTTTTATCAAGGGTATAATATAAATTTAATCATCTTTATAAAATTTGCCTATTAACAATTGCAATCGTATATTTGATGTAATTTAAAATTGTAATAGTGTCTAGTGGTTTATCAAACAAACTGACACCAATGTTGATTCTATAAAATATATTGTCAATTTTCGGAACTGAACTTTTATGAACCCTTTATCTAGTACTACTACTACTTCATATTTTGATATAAGATAAATGTTTTGTCTCACGACTGTTTAAAAAATAATAACTTCTTAACAAATCCAAAAATTAAAAAACGCAATTCAAATGTTAACGTTATCCTTGGACATTAAATAATTAGATCGATTTCAAAATCTTCTTTAAATAGTTTTAACAATTTAGGAAATGTATACAAGGGTGATATTCCACTTTCCCCGACAGACTACGCACTGTATTCGCCAAAAAACAATAGTTTGTCAAGAGTTGACATCAATAAACCTGACCAATTTTGATCAATTTTCTTCATACTAAAAAAACTATAAAATATCTTGTCCGAGCCAAGCAGCTTTTTAAACATTGAGCTTCAACCCAGTTATCTGTAACGTGTGTAGGTTGGGTTACCTCCACGACACTTAGGCCTCATTAGGCCCATTGTGCATCCTCCTGAGATGATAGGCACCTCCTAGCTCGTGAGCCAGCCTACAGATTTAATGTAGTTGACAACGTCGCAAAGAGGTGTTAGCCGATACTTGCCGAACACACATCTTCTAATAAATGAGCAATCGTAAAGGTTATGCTCGATGGTTTCATCTTCTTGTTCGCATCCTCTATAAAGTGCGGATTCTGACAGCCCCGTGATATGGAGATGCTTTCGTACTTGGAAATGACCAGTCAGAATGCCTGTGACTAGACGCAGATTATGTCTAGTCATAGTCAAGTATTTGTTTGCTGCAGTGTTGTCAGGATAACTTAAGAGCTCCCTGGCAACTCTGCAGTTTCTTGTTTCATCCCATCTTTCCTTGAATTTCACAAGGGAATGTTCTTTGATTAGGTCTGTCACAACAGATTTTGTCAGGCCAATAGAAGGGCCAGGTCCAAAAAATATTTGGTTGGCTACTTTCTTGGCTAGTGAATCAGCAAGACGGTTACCTTTCGATGTAGCGTGACCTTTGATCCATCTTAAGGTGACCACATTGTTGATGGATACTTCGGCCAAAGCTTCGTGACATTCTAGTACTAACCCTGAGCAAATTCGTGGTAAAAGTGATAGCACCCCTCCCTGTGGACATCCCCTCGCAACCAAACCTCTTATATTCACATCTTCTACACTTATGTTTACTGCTCGCTTTGAGAGCATGTTATGTATCCATCCACTAACCATTTGTGGAATATTCCTGTTGGTTAGCGAGTGTATTATCTTTGGGAAGGTGGTTTTATCAAAAACACCTTTTATGTCTATGAAAACACCCGAGTTAATTCAAAGATGGTTTGAAACTGAATAAATACCCTCGAGTGCGTCGATGTACGGGAAAATTACTTTGACCTGGGTTCCGGGACACAGCGGTGTGGAGGGCGATGAAAAAGCCGACGCGCTCGTGGAACCGAATCTGAGTTCATTTGAACTAGAGCCATTCCTTGGTATTGTAAAGGTCACTGCCAAATGAATTATCTCAAAATGGACACAGGGCGAAACATTCATGTACTGGACAGAAACCTCAGGGTTAATTAATTTAAAGACGTTCATATCCAATCGTTTTAAGAGCGCCTTTGCTCAAATCCGGGAATGAATCAGGACGCTGTAGTCTAGGTAATTACATGAGAAGGATATATCTGCAACAAACATCGGATTGTCAACTCTGCAACGTGGAAGACGAATCTGTAGAGCACACATTCTGCGTACCTACTTCCAGATCTTTAGCTTTACATCCTACTGAAGCCTATCGACTTTAAAGAAGTCCCATCTAACTCAACTATTCTGCAAAAGATGTGGTTTGTACGATGAACTATAACTTAGGGAAGGTTATGTAATAATCCCACTCATTTTCGAACTAAGCTTACCTAGAAAATTTATAAATTTACCGTAGAAAGCTGGAATTTATCTAATTATAATTTGCGTGTAAATTTTAGTTTAATTTTTATTATTTTCTAAGAGATATTTTCACGTTTTTATAAAAAGCACGATAATTATATAAATATTTTTTGTTTCAGTAAAATGAAGTATCTTCAACCAATTACAATATGCCTTCTTCTGCCGCTAATATCTGGACAGCTGAATTATCCCAACAACGATAGTCAAAATTACAACAACAATCCAAATAATCCTAATAATCCAAACTATAACGCAAACAATCCAAATTATAACTCAAACAGTCCAAACTATAATCCAAACAGTCCAAATTATAATTCAAACAGTCCAAACTATAATTCAAACAGTCCAAACTATAACCCAAATAATCCAAATTACAATTCAAATAATCCAAATTACAATCAAAACAATTCTAATTATAACAACCCAAACAGTCCAAACTATAACCCTAATAGTCCAAACTATAACAACCCAAACAGTCCAAATTATAATCCAAGTAATCCAAGTAATCCAAATAATCCAAATTACAATTCAAATAATCCTAGTTACAACCAGAACAATCCAAATAATCCAAGTTACAACCCAAACAATCAAAATAATCCGAGTTACAATCAGAACAATCCAAGTAATTTCAATCAGAACAATCCAAGCAATTACAACAGTAATCCAAGCTTCAATAGCCAACCACTTGACCAGGGAGACTGTTGCGAAGAATATTGCTACACCCAAGATCCTGAACCCTATCTTAATTTCGGCACTAAGACAGCATACGATAGCATAACAAGACGAAGTGGAAACCAACATATTGTACCAGGTAATTAAATTTATTTACAAATAACGAAAAAGGGAACCATCACAAACTAAAGAGTCATTACAAGAGTCTTTGTAATCTGTTTCTGTCAAAGCCATTAATTAAGTATGAAAAATTATCCAGTCTCAAATGTGTTAGCAAATAAAGAAAATTCTTTTGAATCTCATAATTAGGCATATAATATAGAAATTTAAAAGATGAAACAAGTTACATTACATAGAGAAAATTTATACTTACAATGTTGATTGAAGTTACACCCCAAAAATTTTTAAAAATATAAGTAAATATATAAAAAAGATAAATGTAACAGTGAACATAATGTGCTAAAAATGTGTTATATTGAAACACAAGATATTGAAAATTACAAAAAATTATAGTTAACAAATATGTTGTGAATGGAGTAAAAACTTATTGCGTAAGTTGTACCTACTTCATCTGTATCAGGTGTGAGAGTTCTGACATTTCAATGGCATTAGAATAATCAGATATGAGGGTGACTGTATATCAGACAAAGAATGTAATAGTAGATAGTAAATGAAAGCAAGGACTCGAAATGATCACTGTTATTTAATTGCCATAATAGAGTGTGAAAGTGTAAGAGAGTTTTTAGAAAACAGAAGTACCGTATGGTAATGTGTAGCCAGCAACGTGGACTTCAGTAAAAGTCATAATGGCGTGGACCACAGGGCACAAGAATTTGTGGTTCTTTATTTCACTTACTTTGATTTCTTGCCCTGGTATGTCACCTACTATACGGTACTCTCGAATAGGGCATTTGTTTTTCTAAAAACCCCTTTACAGTTTCCATTCCATTGTGGCAATAAAGTTCAATTAGACTTTCTAGTCTTTACTTCCCCGTACCATTATACCATCATCTATTACGTTCGTTGTCCGACTTTTAGTTACCATCATAAGGTTTGTTCGTGTTTTTAGTTTTACTTGTGCAGAACCGTTCGAGACATGCGTAGTAGATTAAAAGTGTTCGTGTTTTCTGGAACTAAGTTCTGAACAAAGAGTGCTATGTTTGAGTTACAGTTTTTTTTAATGCTAAATAATAATTATTTTACCCCACAATTTTAACAAAATCAATTGGCAGTTGATAATTTAGGTGTTCATGTTAATGTCTAATCCAAAACTGTTCAGAAGAATTACAATTTTGTGCCACTGAGCAACTAGTTCTTCGCAATTTTAGAACAGTTCTCTATATTTATCTGAATGTTCTGATCATTGATTAATATAGAAATATCAGAACTGTCATACCTACAACTTATACAATAAGTCAACCTATTTTGATTTCTCATTCATATCGTTCATAGCCACTAATATGTACTCTATTTCATCGATAACTGTGGCACAACATTTTTTTTGTATCATTTTATATTATTTTTTATTAATGTAATATATTGTTTCAATTTTGAAATTTCTTATATTATAGGATTGATAAGTCCTGATTAGCTAAAACTAGTTGCTTTACTTTCCTAAATAAACAATAATTATTGTATGTTGCATTAAATTGGAGTGATGTCTATTCTACTAAGAGCTATTTATATTAATAATTGTCAATTATTAAATAATTAAGAATCATAGTAAACGTTAAATTTTGAACTAGTGTACAAATGTTCTAAAAATTATTTTCAGATTGTACTGCAGTTCAGTTTTGGAGTTTAGTTCGACATGGAACTAGACTACCCGATGCTTCTACAATTAGATCTATGCGCAACATGAACAAAATTCATGAGGAAATTGCAAGAAACTACGAACAAAGAAGATCTTTTCCAGATAGAGGTAGATTGTGTCCCTCAGACTACGACTTGTTCAGAAGGTTAGTATTTCAAGGTCGTTCAAATTTAAAATTTATTCTTAAAAACTATGCTTTTTATAACTTTTTTATGGTTGAGTTATGTGTAATACACAATGCAAATAATATAATCCAATAGTATTCAAGCCTCTTGAATTTTAATTGCTGAATTCTTTGGAAAGTTCAAAATATTTGCTGCAATTTGCTGTCTTTATTATTAAAGGCATTTCTTTATAAGCTTACCATAACTTACTAGAACATACTTATGTTATCAAAGCATTTCTTTATAAGGTTTGGTTACTCTGATGACGTCATATGTTCTGTATCTGTAACGGGCCTCATTAGGCCCATTGTGCATCCTCCTAAGATGATAGGCACCTTCTAGCTCATGAGCCAGCTTACAGATTTAATGTAGTGACAACGTCACCAAGAGGTGCTTCTCTTATATCGGCCGATACTCGCCGAAAACAAATCTTCTAATAAATGAGAGCGTCGAGCAATCGTAAAGGATATGCTCGATGGTCTCATCTTCTTGTTCGCACCCTCTGCAAAGTGCGGATTCTGACAGCTCCATGATATGGTGATGCTTCCGTACTTGGCAATGACCAGTCAAAATACCTATGACTAGGCGCATATTCTGTCTAGTCATAGTATTTGTTTGCTGCAGTGTTGTCAGGATAACTTAAGAGCTCCCTGGCAACTCTGCAGTTTCTTGTTTCATCCCATCTTTCCTTGAATTTCACAAGGTAATGTTCTTTGATTAGGTCTTTCACTACCGATTTTGTCAGGCCAATAGAAGGGCGAGGTCCAAAAAGTTTTGGTTGGCTGCTTTCTTGCCTAGTGAATCAGCAAGACGGTTATCTTTCGATGTGGCGTAACCTTATATCCATCTTAAGGTGCCCACATTGTTGATGGATACTTCGGCCAAAGCTTCGTGACATTCTAGTACTAACCCTGAATAAATTCGTGGTCTGTTCAGAGTCAGTAGTGCTTGTCTGCTATCTGTAAAGATGATCATGTTCCTTCCAGTGATATTGTTTCTGGTTATTTCTTTCGCTGCTATGAGAATCCCCATTAGCTCTGTTTGAACTACACTGGCACTATTGCTCACAGTCCATTTTATGTTTAGGTTTAAGAATCTGGAGCATATCGGACATCCTGAGCCTTGCTTTGTTTTAGAACCGTTGGTGTAGATATAAATCGTACCTGTCACTTCTGGCTCTTCTATTTGTTCTATTATAACTTTATATAGGGTTACATATATAATAGGATTACCATTTATAAGCTTGTAAATCTATTATCAATGAGAAAAGTGTGCCTTATCTTTAATTTTTAATTATATCTCTGACGAACACATTTTTATAAAAAATATGGTAATTAAAATTAGATGTTTTGTTTTTAGGTATATCGATTACTGTGAAAAAGTTAAATATCAATTAAACACTTTTTTTTTCAATTTTGAAGTATACACTTTGGAAAAACTTATTATTTTAAAACGGATCACCCCCGTATTTAATTATTTATTTGAATTACAGGGTGTTTTACAGGATAAACCAGTTTTATAGTATGGGGCAAAAGTAACGAATAAATTTATTATTTCAAAATTAATAACTTTCAAAAAAATCCTAAAACACGTCAATTTAAATTTTTTAAGGGCCATCTCAGAATATACAGAGTGAGTTTTAAGTATGGAACGCCCCAATTATCTCGATTTTTGGTTTTGTAATACGGCCGATATTATGGTTGTATTTACATTGTTGTCAGATCTTTCGGTTTTCTAGAAATATAATGAATTTTGTTTTTCAAATGGATGGTATATTTTTTGTTTTTGAAATCCTTAAGAAATACTGATTATTTTTACTTTCCTATCTGTATACAGATATAAGGAAAGTATAGGAATCATGATTTTTTTCGACCTCGAGTTTTCGACGGATTTTTACGTTTTGAGGTCCCCTGAATCCGTTTTGACTATTTTCGCGATGATGTCTGTGTGTGTGTGTGTGTGTGTGTGTGTGTGTGTGTGTGTGTGTGTGTGTGTGTGTGTGTGTGTGTGTGTGTGTGTGTGTGTGTGTGTGTGTGTGTGTGTGTGTGTGTGTGTGTGTGTGTGTGTGTGTGTGTGTGTGTGTGTGTGTGTGTGTGTGTGTGTGTGTGTGTGTGTGTGTGTGTGTGTGTGTGTGTGTGTGTGTGTGTGTGTGTGTGTGTGTGTGTGTGTGTGTGTGTGTGTGTGTGTGTGTGTGTGTGTGTGTGTGTGTGTGTGTGTGTGTGTGTGTGTGTGTGTGTGTGTGTGTGTGTGTGTGTGTGTGTGTGTGTGTGTGTGTGTGTGTGTGTGTGTGTGTGTGTGTGTGTGTGTGTGTGTGTGTGTGTGTGTGTGTGTGTGTGTGTGTGTGTGTGTGTGTGTGTGTGTGTGTGTGTGTGTGTGTGTGTGTGTGTGTGTGTGTGTGTGTGTGTGTGTGTGTGTGTGTGTGTGTGTGTGTGTGTGTGTGTGTGTGTGTGTGTGTGTGTGTGTGTGTGTGTGTGTGTGTGTGTGTGTGTGTGTGTGTGTGTGTGTGTGTGTGTGTGTGTGTGTGTGTGTGTGTGTGTGTGTGTGTGTGTGTGTGTGTGTGTGTGTGTGTGTGTGTGTGTGTGTGTGTGTGTGTGTGTGTGTGTGTGTGTGTGTGTGTGTGTGTGTGTGTGTGTGTGTGTGTGTGTGTGTGTGTGTGTGTGTGTGTGTGTGTGTGTGTGTGTGTGTGTGTGTGTGTGTGTGTGTGTGTGTGTGTGTGTGTGTGTGTGTGTGTGTGTGTGTGTGTGTGTGTGTGTGTGTGTGTGTGTGTGTGTGTGTGTGTGTGTGTGTGTGTGTGTGTGTGTGTGTGTGTGTGTGTGTGTGTGTGTGTGTGTGTGTGTGTGTGTGTGTGTGTGTGTGTGTGTGTGTATGTGTGTGTGTGTGTGTGTGTGTATATGTGTGTGTGTGTGTGTGTGTGTGTGTGTGTGTGTGTGTGTGGGTGCGTGCGTGCGTGCGTGTATGTGTGTGTGTGCGTGTGCGTGCGTGCGTGTGTTGTGTGTGTGTGTGTGTGTGTGTGTGTGTGTGTCTGTGTGTCGCATAACTCATAACCGATACACAGAAAAACACCAAATTTCAAACTTAAGCTTTGTCTCAGCGTCCGATGTGCTGATTAGATTTTGGGCAGTGTCGGAACATCTGGGGGAGTACTTTATGGGTGTTAATTTTTATATTTTATGGAATATATCTGTTATTTACGTTTGGGGAAGAAAATTCTTCAAATAAAAGTTACTTCTTATATTATTATCTAAAAGTTTAGTTCTATACAAAATTTTCCTAAAATGGTCCGTATTCGAGAAATTTGACAAAATGTAAAAAAATATTTTTTTATAAAAATTGTTCAAACAAAAGTTGTTTGTAATATAATTCTCTATTTTTATATTTTTATCCTTTACATAATTTCTCTAAAATGGACCGTATTCGAGATATTTGAGAAAATGTGTAAATTTCGAAATTTGAAGAAAACTCAAAAACGGATAAAGAAAAAAACATTAAATTTTAAACTTAAGTTTTATTTCGGCCTGACGTGAAATGATTAGATTTTGGGCAGAGTCGGAACATCTGGAGGGGTACTTTATGGGGGGCCGTTTTTATATTTTATGGAATATATCTGTTATTTATGTTTGGAGAAAAAAAATTGTTCAAATAAAAGTTATTTCTAATATTATTATCTATAATTTTTGTTTTATGTCAAAATTTCCTGAAATGGTCCGTATTCGAGAAATTTGTCAAAATGTGCAAAATTCTGATTTTTATGAAAATTGTTGAAATAAAAGTTGTTTGCGATATCGATCTCTATAATTTTTGTTCATACATTATTTTTCTAAAATGGACCGTAATGAAAAAATTGTAGGAAAAGTGCTAAATTTAAATTTTTCAGTATTTTCATTTTCAATGAATATCTATAGAAAAATGTTTCGAGGTAGATGTATGTGGAAAATGTATATATTTAGTTTATCCTCTAAACATTTATAGAGGTGCTGCAATAGGTTGTACAAAATAACCGGAAAAAGCCTATAATAACTAGATAGGAAAGTCATGTGTTGGACACATCAGATTTTTTATATAATGGTATACCTAAATTCCCTAATTTTGAAGTTACATCTACATTTACATTATCTCCACGGAAGTTAAAATAATACATTTATGACTCCATGGAACTTAAAATAATACATTTATGACTGATATAATAACAACTTTGACGTTTATCTGAGAAAGAACGAATTGAGATTTTAATGATATTAGGATATGGTGGTATGCGTAGAAGTCAACAAGAAACGTGTAATATCTTTAATAATTTATATCCTAACCAAAATCACATAACAAGATCTTCTGTAAGTAAATTGCTAAAAAAGTTTAACCAAAATTGTTCAATAATGGATTTATCCAAATCAGAGCGCAGAAAAACTGCATCAACTGAAAACAAATCTTTAGATGTTGGTGTCATGTTAGAAAACGATCCACACTTGAGTACTAGACAAATATCCAGGAACATCCGTAATGACAATTTTACGTGATAATAAATTTCATCCATACAAAGTAAGGTTGGTTCAAGAGTTGTCAGATGACGATTTTGATAGACGTAAAAAGTTTGTAGACATAATGATGGGAAAATGTTATAATCGAAACGATCCAAATTTTTTTAAGTAATGTTATGTTTTGCGATGAGGCCACTTTTGTATTAATGGAAACGTAAATCGGCCAAAGTGTAGATACAGGGGTAGTATTCTCGAATCACGAATACCGACATTCGCATACGTGTTTTACAATGTGTCTCACTTTGTTGAACGAAAACCAAGTGAGACAAATCATAAATCTCGCATGCGAATCTATGTTCGTGACTCGAGAATACTACCCCTGGTCACGAAACAATCATCGTTGGATGCGTGAATCCCACACCCAATATCCAGAAAAAAAAATGTATGGGCTGGAATAATTATTGACTACAAAATAGTTGGTCCCTTTTTCATTGAAGCAAACTTAAATGGTGCAGCGTATTTAAATTTATTGGAAAATATATGGATATTGGATATATTAGTTGGCTCGGTTATTTCCAAATACAAGTAAGTATTTTCCATAACATTTGAATGTAGAAATTTCATTATTCGAAACTTTCAGACAATAACAATATCCCGAACGACAATATTTGGTCGCAACAAGATAGTGCTCCTCCACGTCATTATGCGCGTGAGGTGAGGCAATACCTAAATAATGTATTTCCCAGAAGATGGATTGGCAGGCGATGTTTTATAGAATGGCCTCCGCGATCACCCGACATGAATCCTTTAGACTATTTCCTGTGGGTTCACTTAAAAAACAACGTTTATAAAACAAAACCTGCAAATATTCAAGAATTAAAAGATAGGATTACCATGGAGATAAGAAGAATTGAGCAGTCAGGGATGTTGCAAAATGTATTGCAAAGTTTTAAAATCGCATGGCTTCTTGTATTGAAGTAAACGAACAACATTTTGAGCATCTGCTGTAATTGCCTTTATTTTATGTTTTCTAAATTTCCTAATTTTTCTACTACTCAAATGTGGATCTACTTTTAACATGACACAAACATTTAACGATTTGTCTTCATTTTGCTGTTTACTGCACCAGTTTCGTTAAACCTTTTTACTAATTTACTGACATTAGACCCTGCTATGATATAAATTTTATTAAGGAGGTCCTTTCGCCACACCTCTCGCCTCAAATGTTAAAAAAAAAGTTATTAGATTATGACTAAAATTAATTTTTTTCTAATAGTTGAAGTCCTTTTTTATCTAATACTGAACTTTTAACTATACCTTACCTTGCAAATTTTTGAGAATTTTTTTTTTTAATGTGAGTATTTGTACAGTGCCTCACGAGAAAGTAAGTCCTCAACAACAATTCTCGAATTATACTATTATTTATTGATTAGATGGAGTAGAAACAAACCAAAAATAAGGTTTTTGAAATATTTAGATTTTGTTTTATACAATAAAATATATATAGTAAACCGTGGAACTTATTGAGAAATTAATATTAAAAAATCACAAAAAAATTTCAAGTAACCTAGTTGAAAATTTTTTGTGATTTTTTAATAATAATTTCTCAATAAATTCCACGGCAACCTATATATTTTATTGTAAAAAACAAAACCTAAATATTTCGAAACCCTTATTTTTAGTTTTTTTCTACTCCATCTAATCAATAAATAATAGTAAAATTAATTATAATTCGAAAATTGTTGTTGAAGTCTTACTTTCTCATAAGACACTGTACAAACTAACACATTTTTAAAAAAAAAATTCCCAAAAATTTGCACGGTAAGGTATAGTTAAAAGTTCACTATTAGATAAATAAGGACATCTACTATTAGAAAAAAATTAATTTTAGTCATAATCTAATATTTTTTATTTAACATTGGTGGCGAAAGGACCTCCTTAAAGATTATTCAAATTAAACGAGTTTATTCAATCATATCCATCTAAATTTAACTTCCGCGGAGATAATGTAAATGTAGCTGTAACTCCGAAATTTTGGCATTTAGGTATAGGGAACATTACATGAAAAATAATCAGTATTTCTCAAGGATTTCAAAAACAAAAAATACACGGGATGATCCATTTGAAATAACAAAATTCATTATATTTCAAGAAAACTGAAAGATCTGACAACAATGTAAATACAACTATAATATCGGACGTATTACAAAACCTTTACATACCTAAGTATATAAAAATCGTGCAAGCCGTTTCCGATATAATTGAGGCGTTCCGTACTTAAAAATTACTCTGTATATGAAATAGAATTTACGTCACTGGTGTTCGACGATTTTTTTAATACTAACGGGGTTCATGAGGCACATTATTTGAAAGGTGTCCTAATCGAATATCCAATGGTTTAATTATTCGAATATTTACGTCTACAGGGTCAACCAAAATTATGAAAATCGTATTTATTTCCATTAACTGTACACTGCAAAATAAACAATTGAAACCTGATTTTTTCGTTAACAATTTTTGATGTAAAATATGTCAATCAACAAATTTTTCAATTCGCAGCAACAAATCTGTATAGAGCTAGTCAAGTCTCAAATATATCATTTTCTCTCTTTTTTTATAGCCATTCAATACCCTACATATACTCCCGTTTGAATTAAGCATTCCCTATACCTAAAGTTAATAGTTTTGGGAGATTTTTAAGTTTAAATTAAGAAAAAGATGATTCAGAAAATAATTCATTTTAACTGGCCACTGGTTAATAAAAAAAATATTGTAATGATTGTTTAATTTAAAAATTATTTATTTATTTAAAACAGTTTATTTATAATTGATTTACACTACGTACTAATTAGTTTATTTATTACTAAAGCACTATTATAATTCACACTTCTAATTTATTTTACAATTTATCTTCACTTGACACATTTATATTAAAACTTAAACTTCTATCGATAAGGTCGCGCTATTTATATAAAAATGTAACAGCCTAGAAAAATCTGATCCTGGATAGAAGCTCTATGCTAATCTGAAAGGTATCTGAAATACGTCCTTCACGCGTCGAACTGCGTACAAGAAATATTCTAGTTACTTTCTCGAGTCTTCGAGGTGAACGGGCAGCGATGGCCAACGCCAAACTCTCCGGCGCGCTAAAGGTTAATAGAGAACAAGGTCGGTTTTAGGCCATCGCACGATATTGTCGCGTAAGAGCCAACCCTGTGCTTTGCTTACTCCTGGTCCGTTGTATGAAGTCGAGCGGCGCTGGCAATATAGAGACAAACGTACCGCTTCCAGAAACTAACGGATTGATCGACACAATATTATGGAGTTTAATGCTTCCTGTCATTCTGTATTTTTTTATGTCTCTATAATAGTGCAAGATATATTTGACTTTTTTACACTAATGGACTAATGTCCACTTGTAAATGTTATGGTTGCTATTTTAATGGCATTTTCTTCATTCAATTAAAATCACTTTATTGACGTCAATGTGTTTTGCCCTTTCGAGTTTCGGATGAATAAATTAATTATAAATGAAACGCCAAGTTGTTAGGAAAAAGGGCGGTAAAAGTTCAGCAATCTATTATAAACGCAATCGTATACCTAATATACAAATCTACAATACACGCGAGTATTTAATCTCTATGAACCCGTCTACATTTTCGGGATTGATATCCATGAAGGCAAAATCTGAATAGTAATTGAAATTTTTAATATTTCATTGAACTCTGTCGAGCAAATAAAAATAGAGATTATTACATACATAAGTTATAAAATATGATATGTGTTATGTTATGATAATACGCTGATGTCTTAAATTTAAATGTGGAAGAAAGTCTTTGTAAAATCAACATTCTGGACCTTCGCAAACAGATCATACAGTACATAATTACATACTTACCAAAGTCACGAAATATATCAATTTCCTGGCAAAGAGCTGGTTATAGAATGACAAAATGTACGAAAAATCATAAAAAAAACTAAACCCTTGTAAGCTAAGGTGATCAACCGTTCCATTTTAGCCTGGGCAGGTTTAGGTTTTTTGCTTACTATCCTGAATAAAAGAAATGTCCTGTTTCGTCCCGATTTTATAGTCTTATCCGGATTATTCCGGGATATAAGCATCAGTCAAAAATAGCTTAACTTAAAGATATTTATCGCTTCAATATTAGAGGAAGTGAGCCAAATATGGAATACCGTTGTACATATTAAATTCAGAATGTCCTCTTAACACCCCTTGTTTTTTTGTATGGGTTTATTATACCTTTGAAAAGCTTAATTTATTATTTATAATATTAAATCTATTATACAGAAGATACAGAAATATATTCCATCGAACATATGTTTCAAGAAAAAATAAAATAGGACCCTTACACAAAACATTTTATGTTATGCTAAATGAAAAACAAATCAGTCTACACAAAAAATGGCATCAGCATTAAAATAATTTGAATAAAAAAAAAAGTTAAACCTTTGCTACAATGAAATGTGAATTTGTGCTAAATTATGTTAAAAAAGTTATGAACGAAATTAAAAGATTTGTGGATCTGCTTTTTATAAATAAAACATTTTTTAGATGGCGTTTTAACGAGAGCATTAACGAAGGAAACGCTAATACTTTAGCTAGACAAGGAGTTGATGACATGAAACTTCTGGCTAGAAGATACAAGGCTAAATATCCTGACGTCTTACAAAACTACGACGAAAGATCTTATTACGTAAGTAAACACTAATAAATATAATTTGTATACAAACTTAAGGTTATACGATTTTAGTTCCAATATTCCACTGATGACAGAACTCACGATAGTTTCCAAGCATACATTGAAGGACTTTTTGAACAGGATGCTTTCAAAGTACACGCAAACACAGTCAATGGCAATATGCTAACTAATGTAAGTATGTCTTATTTGAATAAAACCTGATAAACTATAGATTAAAATACCCATACACAAAAGGAACGCACTATTTTAATTTATTTTACTTCGATTAATTTTTTAGCCATTCCAAAATTGTCCAAATTGGCAAGACAACCAAAATTTAAATTCAAATTCGAATTCAAATTCGAATTCACAGTTTATTTCGAGATCCGAAGTAGAGAGATTCAAAGAAAAACCGGAATATCAGAAAATGATAAGAGATGTATTTAGGCGATTAGGATTTAGATTTACCCTTAACGCTACAGTTATCGAAGATATCTATAATCTTTGCAGTTACGAAAAAGCCTGGTAAGTACATATACTTTCTTAAAGTACAATATTTCATCTGCATTATTTACTTCAAATTGGCTTCAAGAGTATCTACACATTTTAACAGACTATCCTTTTTTAGTATCTCTAAGTAAATATAATTCACTTTTCTAACCAACCATGTATAAAAGAAAATATAATTTTAACTCCAATGCATCCAAAGCCCTTACTTCCAGTAACATCAACACCTGTATCTATGTCTCTTTTTACTTCTTGATTACCGTCGTTTTGGCTATTTATCAACTAGAACGAATATCTCTCTTCTCTATCTCACTTTGAGCAAAATAATTTGTTTCTCAGAATCTAAGAAGAACACGTCAAATAACAGTCTGTAACATTCTTCCCTAAAAGCATTTCTTCAGATAATAAAACACGAACTATTAGGCCCATTGTGCATCCGACACGAGCTTCCAATCAACTTGTCAACCATGCTAATGTTTCAAAGTAGTTAATAACGTCTTGTATGTTTGCAAAATGAGTCGATATATAACTGCGTAGAATAGATACCTGTAATAATTATAGATAGGTATGAAGAATAATTTGAGGAAGAAGTGTTATGGGCTTTAAGGCAGATCAAACCGAAGAAAACCACCGGCCCTGACCATGTGCCGGCGTTTATAGTTAGAGACTGTGCTGTAAGTCTTACTGTACCTCTAATGATTATTTTAAATATGAGCATTAAGCTTCATACTGTACCTAATTTGTGGAAAAGTTCTAAGGTTTGTCCTATATTTAAGAAAGGTGACAAAACGGACATTGCGAATTTTAGACCAATATCGATAATATGCAACTTTAGTAAAGTCTTCGAAATCCTTCTGCACAAACACTTGGAGTATTATATTTCACCCATGATATCATCCCATCAACATGGTTTTGTAAAGGGTCGATCTACTGTAACAAACCTCGTTAGATGCACACAGCATATCGCAGAAAATATGGACAATCGACTTGCAAACTGATGTTGTATATACAAACTTTTCAAAGGCGTTTGACAGACTCGATCATGGGATTCTCATAAACAAACTGATCGGTTACGGGTTGTCAGAGTCTGTTCCGTTCATACTTGCAAATTCGTCAACAGTATGTTTTCTTAAATGGTTTTAAGTCTGTAGAATACTTTGCAACGTCTGGGGTGCCGCAAGGATCTGTCCTTGGTCCTCTACTTTTTAATATATTTATTAACGACATCGTGGAGTGCATTGATGTAAATTGTCTTTTATATGCAGATAATTTAAAAATTTTCAGTTCAAGTTCCTCCAATGCTGACTGCGAACGTATGCATTATAACATAAAATCAGTCGAAAATTGGGATCGCTTAAACCTTCTCCCTTTAAATGCATCAAAATGTTTTATGATGTCATTTTCATTAAAACCGGATATTCTTTTATTCAACTACGAGATAAACAGGTCATCTCTACAAAGACCTGAACATTTTGTCTATCTTGGTATAACTTTTGATCCACAGCTCTCATTTATATTACACATTGAAAAAACTGTATCTGCTGCATCAAAAATGTATGGGTTTTTGTTACGTGTTAGTAGGGAGTTTTTAAATATAGAAACTCTTAAAATGCTGTATTTTTCATTCGTTCGGTCTAAACTGGAGTACGCTTCCATAATTTGGAATCCCCATTACCAAACTCATCCGAACAAGTTATAATCAGTGCAGCGGCGATTCTTAAAATTCATCTGCTTCAAACAGGATGGCGTTTATCCGGAAATAGGTACACCTCATCAATATCTGCTTAACAGACATAACTTTATTGATCTTGAGACAAGGCGAAATTGTCATCTAATCATTTTCATATATAAATTAGTACATTACAAAATCCATTGCGAACAACTATTAGAAAAACTTGCTTTTAACGTTCCGAGAACTACTACACGGTAGCAGTCTACTTTCTATCTACCCATCAGCAAGAACTAATGTTTTAAAATCATCACACTGCATAATATGTGTACATTATGTAACTTAGTCAGTAACACCATAGATATATTTAATTGTAGTGTATATAGCATTAAGTCTGAAGTTTTTAAGTCCGTATAATGTTTACCTATTCTTGTGTTTTCGTAATTATTTTTGTCAGAATTTCCTGCTCTGTAATTGGAATTGCCTGTTGAGCAGTGTATCAATAAATAAAATAAATAAAATAAAAATAAATAATCCTCTGGCAACCCAAACCAAACTGAGTATAGGCAGGCCACAAAAACCGATGACTTGATTTTAAGAAGCAAATAGAAAAAAGTTTCAACTAGCACAGAAAAGATTGAAAATACTTTTTTTTACACCCACATATATATTAGCTTATCTACGCACATATTACAAAACGAAAAAATATGCTATTGCCTTCAACTGAACGAATAGATTTCATATCCATTCTTGGTAGTGAGAACACTGCAAAAAAATGAAATCCACCAATCACCGTTCATATTTTGATCAACCGACTGCTATTATTACTAAAATTTGAAATAAGTGACAATTCTGTCAAACTCCGCCTACGGCGTCTTGCTCAAATTTCGTCTTCGTGCGATGTGGCCATCATATCCACTCTTGTTGCACAAACTACTATTAGAATTCTTAGTCAATTGTTAATGACAGTGACTGACAGAGTACTACAGCATCTCTTACTTATGTTTTAGATAGACTGTACAAAGTGAAGAAACAATGTGAAAAGCTTGGAAAGAGTATCTAGATGTTCTAAAGAACTCGTCTGGGTTACAGATAAGGCCACACATTTAGAATGGAGAAATCGTGTAAAGTTAGTCTAACATCTGAAGTTCAGTGACATTTGCGGTGCGCTTACTACTGCAGATTCAAACTACTTATAAGATTTTTCATTTTCATTTAGTTTTTTCCGATCTAAACCGACTTTCTCACTGCACTTTCTTTCATTTCACGTTTACGGCGTACCGTACTCGAAAACTTAACACTGTTGAACGAATAAAGGATCTTAGATATTTAGTTCTAATGTACCTAATTATAAATTACTGTCTTTCTACACGATGTCAAAGGGTGGTTTTAAGAAGAATATAGAGAGCTGAGGTGGGATGAGAATGTGTGTGTAACGACGGAAGTGCTGAGGTGGCCAAATTGGTTAGCGCGCGGACGGCCCAATTCCAAGGTTTCAGGTTCGAGTCCCGATCTCGCAAAATTTTTTTCTTTCTTTAATTCTCAGCTTTTTCAATTATTCTTTGGTTTGTTTTCACTTTGGGAATATGAGGGTGTCATTTTCATAATTTCATAGAAAGAATTAGGGATTTTTCATTTTTAAAATTTAGTTTTTCGGATATAAACCGACTTTCTCACTTCACTTCATTTTTTATTTCATATTTAGTGATAATCAACGAAACTCATGTGTTTACACTTATCCATTACTTTTTAGGAACCCGCAACCGAGATCGCCTTGGTGTGTTGCCTTCACCAAAGAACAACTGAAACTTTTGGAGTATGTTGAAGATTTAAAATATTTTTATGAATCTGGATATGGAAATAAGATGGCTGAAAAAATTGGATGCAGTTCAATTAAGGATATGTATGAAAGATTCGAAAGGACAATCAATGGTAGGTAAATTCATTTTAATAGAGGATAGAATAATTTAACTAACGTTTTAAAAACAGGAATACATCTTTTTTGTTTGGCTCTTCCTATTAAAAATACTTGCCTAATTTCTTACAATTTTATATTTTTTATAGGAAATTCTGACGGAAACAAAGCAACATTTATATTTGGCGACACATCCAGCTTATTATCTGCTCTTACAGCACTCGGAACCAATAAGGATTACAACCTTTTGAATTCAGAAAACTATTTGCAACAAAATAGGAGGAGTTGGAAGACATCGACGATGAGTCCCTTTGCTGGTAACTTGGTTGCTTCACTTTACCAGTAAGTTTATTTTAATTACGATTATGTAGGTGTAAATACGGAGTCTTCAACAATGATCATATCCCACGTGACTAAAATTATTGATATCATCACTTAGTTAAAAGTAACATTTAAACTTCAGTAGTGGCTAATGACCCTAAAACAATGTCACTGACCTCATTGACAGAACTGATACTTAAGTTTTCATAAGAGTTGATAAGCACAGCCGTTTTTATTAAATTTCATGTGAAATAAGGGTATTGTTGAAGACTTGTTATATTTTATATTGTCCTTGGAATGACTCAGAGTTTAGATGATATATATTGTCTTCTTTGTTAGATATATTTTTTTGGCATTACTCTATAAAACTCGCTATATCCAAGTCCGCGTTTTATTTTTGGTTTCAAGTAGTTATCTTGCATAGGATTAGTCATTATAAAGTACCCACTTTTTATCATCGTTATTATTGCATATACAAAAAAATGTTTTAAATAAAAGTTGAGTGTTTGACAGATATTATAAATGATATATTTTTAAATGGGATACCGTAGATATTATTAAAATGACTTTTTCATCCGATTTCATGAATTGTACCCTAGTGATTGTGTGTAACAGCCAAATGGAATACATTCGGTAGTTCAATTACTATGCATTTTTTACTCTATTATCGCGGGCAACTTTTATTATTCTGTCATCAACGTGAGACACGTGACAGTTATATATAAGTAGACGGGACGATCAGGTCCAAATACTTGTAATAAAGTTTTCCATCCATCCATTGGCAGTCGCGGCATATGAAGTTCCTGGGTATTCGTCATCCCACATGTTTTTTGCTTTAACCACGATCAATGGGCGAGCTTTAATTCCATCAGCGCTAACAGCCATCAGTACAGTGGTATTTTGCCTTCCAGATCCAGCAGTTCTTCGCGATGAAGGTGCTCCTCGTTTTCCCACCACTTTAGTCTTTGATGGATCCAGAGAAAAGCTGGTTTCATCTAGATTCCAAATTTCACCAGGTTTATCGTGTAAGCTAAATTCGTCAGTTTCTTCAGTAGGTCAAAATAGTTATTTATAATAAAAGGACCCAAACACTTTCTTCTTGCGTATTTCACCGATTGAGGTTTCTTTATTGAGAAATTATGTCTCTTGGAAAACCCCAAAAACCAATCTTCTCCCGGTCGCCTATTCTTAAATGGTGTTTTAAGGTTATTTCTAGTGACATATTGCTCAACAGTATTAATAATTTCACGTCCCATGGGAATTGCCGTGGATCTCCCCATAGATGCACTTTCCTTGCCTTTAATTCTTCGCCTGTGGTAACTAAGTATCATCTGGGGGATACCGTATTTCTTATGAGCACCGTATTGGGTAATTATTCCCCTATGTATTTCTACCAATGCTCTCTGAAGGGTGGCCTCATCGTAGGTTGAACGTTTGTTAGATTTTTTGTAACAACGTACTATGGTTTCCTAAAATTAACAAAAACACGTTACTTATTTTATTTAACTGTTATAAGGTAAGTGTGTAGTATACTACACTCTTGCCCATACTATTTACTACACACTTGCATACACATGAGATTTCTGTGGGGCAACTGGTTTAGTAAATAAAATTTTTAGGTTATATCTAAAAAATACAAAAATATTTGCAAAACTACGAAAAGACTTACTTTTTTAACTTGCTTTATCGATTTAATCGATAAAATCACTTTGTTTTTTGAGGACGACGGCAGATTAAAAATTATTAACCAAATTGTGTTCAGTGCCCACACTGTCATGTGTTTTCTTCGGATAGATACCACTGCGTGTCTAGGAATTATTTGAGCTCAAACATTCTACATTAGAAAATGACAATAACATGTAGTTGTACCCCTTGCTGATAGATGAAGCCACAATAAACCACCGAATAGAAGTTATGATGCCTCTACACACTTACCCCACCTTACCTTAATTTTTTTTGTATGCCATCGGCTTCAACTGCTAAGGTTATTTCGCCTCGTGTTCTGTGTAGGCTTTGTTACTGTTTCTCTGCGCCACTTTAGGAACAGCACTGTTAATTAGAACCCAACAGTGAATGGTCGAGTGGGGAATCCTACCAAGGTATCAGAATTAATTTTAAATAATTAAATTAAATGAAAAAATCGCTGCCAACGGTGGGATTCGAACCTGGGACCCTTGGATCTACAGGCAGAGACTCTACCACTGAGCCACCTACCCCCTCCTTACCTTAATTAAAAATATTTTTAGTTACAGTTTGATTCAAAAATGTATGATGGTAGTTTTTCCAAAATCTCACTAATTTTACTAAAAAAACTACCGTCACATTTGTGAATAAAAATATTTTTAATATGTAATAATATTATTACAAAAATATTAAACGCATTAAACGTGTGTATGGAACAGAAATTCAATTTAGCTCGTAAGTTGGAAAATAAAAATTTCGAAAAATTGGGCAATTTTTCAGAATATTATACAAATACAATAATTATGGTACGTCTTCGCAACACTGCTCTCGCTATTGACATGATTCCTTATAATTTTAGTGACATGCGCAGCAAGGCCAAATCGTGAGAGAACTCTCACACTCATTTTCCCATAGTTGGAGAATAGGCTCCCTGCATTGTTGCCAACCCTACCGATTTTTCGGTAGATCTACCAATTTTGAAATCATTCTACCAATATACCGATTAATCTACCGAATTACGGGACCTCATCTATCAGGATTTGATCTTTTTCAATTTCAATTTTATCGATCCTGATATATTAAAAGATGGTTCTATTTCGAAAGTAGCACTTTTATTTCAAAATCTAATAACAGAAAACCAAATGGAAATACTTGACAATGAGTGGCGGTCTTTAAGAAATGTTTAGGAAATTCGGGGTTTTTCAGACGATGCCACATCATTTTGGCAAGAAGTAAATAAATTGAAAATGGGTGACGAAACTGCAATGTTCTCTAATTTGAGTTCCTTCGCTTTCAATATATTATGCCTTCCACATTCCTCAGCTAATGTAGAAAGATTATTTGAGGAGCATTGGAGCAAAACCGAATAAATCCACTTTTTATGAAAATTAAGTTAGCGACAGATTTCAACTTACTTTGTTAAATTACATCTTTATAGACTACCTGTCCGAGCAAAACCGAATAAATATTTGTAAAATTAATTGTCAAAATTGATGTGTTTGTGCAAAACCGAATAAATCCACTAGTAAAGTGGTGTAAACAACACATCAGCATTCGCTGTAGTTTAAAAGCAGTTTGTAAGAGATATTTCTTTATTTTCATTTGTTTTTCCTCTTATATTAGTGCGGGTAGTTTTGAATTTTGATTTGGGTAAAACTGAATAAATCATTTTTTTTTGTAATATTTTTAACAAAAATTATTTTTCAAAATTATAATTGCAGAGGGTGTATTATTTATGATGCCTCCAATATTATTGTTTTCACCAAACAAACGAAAAACCAGTACTTTTTGTCTATTTGGAAAATCGTGTTTTCCCAAAAATCGTTTATAGTGGATTTATTCGGTTTTGCCCCAAAGCTCCTCATTTTCAGCTATCAATCTACTGAAAACTTAACAAAGAAACAAATTAAATATCGAAATCATAACAGGATTGCTACATACTAAAAAATATATAGGTAACAGTAATTTTTACACTTTTCCCGTTGAAAAACAATTACTGTCGTTTATGAACAAAAACAATATATACAAGGAAGATTAAATTGGATATTAAGAATATATTTAGAATATTGTGTATTTTTTAATGTGTTTGTGTTATTCTCTTTTTGTACCTTCACAAAAAAATATTTTTACCATTGTATTTTTGTAAAATTCAAATTGAGTCTGTTTTCTATTTTAAATATTTTTTTCAATTTGTCTCCTTTTTCAAATTTGCCTCCTTTTTTTCAAATATACCGATTTTTGACGAAAAATTCTACCCATTTTAGAATTTTTAGGTTGAGAACACTGTTTCCCTGGGAAGTAACTAGTTAACATAAGTGGCGGAGATGCCGGGTTTTGCTGAACGTCTACATATTCCCCGCATCTAATTTTTTTTAATATAAAATTAGGGCTAAGACCGCCCTTGACTGATTATTAAGTCTGTCTAATAAAAGTAGATAACCTGTTGAAAATTTGGAGCTTTGATAATGTCAAGGCCAAGTTAAACGGTACAAGTTTCCAGAAACTCTAATAAGATCACGCAAGCACCATTGTAAACCCTTTATATATTCTACTAATTTATTGTTTCGGAATCGGAATTAAAAACAAAAACAATTTATCAGAACATAAAATATTTTATAAGAAACCATATCGATGGTATCAGACTGTATAGGTACGGTTCTTTTAATTTTAGAATTTTCTGATACCTAGGTAAAATTCGATATTATCTTATGGGTTTTATGGGACTCAGTGGCGGCTGGTGCATAAGTGCTGCAAACTGCCAAAAAATGCAAGTATCTCATCTACATTTTTATCAAATCAGGTCTTTTGTTGTGAAGATCTAAAAAAAGTTCTTCCGCTTATATTTTTATACAACAATTCCATGTCTCAACTTTGGAGTCAAAAAGCGTGGTATTTGAGTAAAAAGCGTGACTTTGGGTAAAAAGCATGATATTTTCGTACTTTGGCCAGTAAGTTAAAAAGCGGGATAAATACGCCTAAAGCGGGACGTCTGGCAACCCTAACCTAAGCCTGGGTATTTTTATATTATAATCATACTATACAAATCGGGCATCATTAGTCTGGGGCCGTTTAATTAAAAACATACAAAGTTAACTGTTTTACACTAAACATTTTACTTAAATTTGGTTATAAATCAGCATCATCAAATCATTTTTATAACACAAAATATTTTCATATTCCAGTACAAGTGCTATTAATTTAATTAAAATATGGTATTTTTTACGTTAAAATGAAATACTTGTAAGCTCTAAAGTAACAGTTAATCCTTCTTTTCAATGTAGAGAATTAGAATAATAACTAGAAGTGTCTACGTAACCTTAAAAAATGTAATTGTACTCATAAATGTAATTGTAATTTGAAAAAGTAATAATTGTAATTGGAAAAATAATTGTACTTATGAGAAGTAATGGTATTTAGACAATTTAAATAACATAATTACAAAGTACAATTCCTCCACAGATTTTGCGGCAATTACAATTCAAAATTACTTTTAGAAAAAAAGTACTTAAATACAATTACAAATTAGAAAAAAAATATTAATTACTTTTTAACTAGGGATTACCCAGATCTATAAAAATATTAAAAAAGGAGGTAGTGTGGCACTTTTGGTGCAATCATAAATAAGAAAATTATGATATTGTCTTCATTACGTAGAATGAAACAAAGAATGTTACACGATACTTAGAGTATGTATTTTTTAATTTATTTTACAATTGATTTTTGCTTCAATTTTACGAAAAGTTTCTCCTCAAGTTTTATATTATATCATTGACTGATACACCGTTTTGGCTATTAAGACGCTTTCTCCATATTTATTATGAGCGTTGAGTGATGTAATAAAAATTGTGAAGTTTCATGCAATGAATTTGGTGCAAAATGTAACACTCCTTTGTACCACACAGAGGTTCGCTGGATGGTTGTTAAGAGGTAAAGTTTTAAACCGGGTTTATAAGCTTCCCGAAGAGATAGGATTGTTTTTTGAAAACCAGAGAACACAATAAGAAAATAGTTTTACTGAAAGAAAATACATTTATCGAAATGCTGGCCTATCTTGCTGATTTTTTTCAGTAAAATGAACAGTCTGAACATCTCGTTATAAGGAAATATGACGAATATCCTGACGGCAGAGGATACAGTTATAATTTTTCTGAGTAAATTGGAACTTTACCAACGATATTTCAATGTTTATACTACTGTGTGGGCAATTGGTAAATGAGGAATCTGATAAATTCACTTGTAAAAACAAAGACCGGAAACCCTCTCAATGTGGAACATGACACTTCAGAACCGCCTTCTTATGTGAAACTAAATCAAATATAAAAAACCTGTGACTATTAAACAATATCAACCTTCACACTGATTGTCATTAATTCATTATTTTTGTGCCATTTATTATGGTTAACATTTTAATTGGGTTTAAAATAAGTTTTCCTAATAGGTCATAGGGGTACCAAGACTGAAAAGGTTGGGAACCGCTGTTTGGTATGACAAAGAAAGAATGCCATATATTATCAATGCTCTGAGTGATCTCTTTTAAATATATCTAACTCTTATAAAAATTCCAAGTGATGTAAAGAGAATTACATTATTAATGATTAATTATTTTTGTTAATTTAAAATTCTATTTATTTTTGTTTTTCTAGGTGCAACCGAGGCGAAAAACACAGAGTAATGTTCTTCCTCAACGAAGTGCCGATTGAATTCACAGATTGTTCTGTAGGATTATGTAACTGGTCAACTATACAACAAAAGTATGAAAATCTCGTAAGGACTTGCAACAGGGATGACATTTGCTCCTCACAAAGAGGAAGTGCTAATAAACATTCTGCCTCACTCATAATATTCATTTTGACATCGATATTAGCTATTAGATTATGAATGTAAAATTTTTAAAAAGACAGTCACACTTTTTGCAAGTATTCAAATATCGTCTAGCGAAATAATATGAAAATAATTTTCCGGTCATGCGTTAAGTTGTAGTACATTTCCATACTTATATTTAATGTGGAAAGTGTTTTCGTACAAGAAATAAAAAAAATTATGTTCACTCAGATCCATGTCTATTCCAGGATTGTTTTAAATATATTTCCTGAAACAAGATTTTTTGACTATATTTTAAATAATAAAGTACTTTGATTTAGTTAACTATTGGTCTAAGATTTGGTACCTTCATTATATAAATTATATACACATGTATTTAGAAATATTTATTGTCCGTGTCAAGTTGTTGTTTGTATTGTACGTAGGGTTTCCAACATTGCAGTAATGCTGACCCGGGGAAAAATAATTTTGTTTATGAATCCACAATATAAATATTTTGACTCTATATTTCAAATTATTATCCACCAGCTAGTCCTAAAGTCGCCCTCAGAAGCTTTTCTTCATTTCTCATGGGCGCCGCTCCCGGAAAACTTTAATCTAAACCAGGAGAATGATCGCCAAACCCGGATATTCCAGGTCAAAATGATGTTGTTGGCAACCCTAATTATTATACGTGTGTGAGAGAAAACCAAATATGACATATAGGTTTAAGATTATCTATCACTCAGAGCATCAGAAAAATATTAGTATTTCATAAGATTAAGTTAAATTTATAAATTCAGTTCATTATTATGTTTCATGATTTCGGTATGGTGAATAAACATACATATGAAGGTAATCTCAAAAAAAAAATGTATGTGTTTTTTTTTAAAAATTGTTGGTCGTGAACTGTATTAAATTAACTTTAAGGTGCGTACAGACCGAATTTCCAACTTTGTCCAATGCCAACGGCACATATGTGCTGTCGTTGGCGTTGGAATTGGGAAGTATTAAAAATGATTTGAGAACATCATCCATACCCGATTTTTAGTGTTACATTGCACACCATACCAAACTAGACACATTCAAGCTCCAAGCTTTGCAAATCTATTGATTATTTATTGTGATTTTTTCAATTGCAAATTAACGTATTTTGAGAAATATAAAAGTGATTACATTGCTACAGTAGAGCGTCGATAATCCGGATTAATTGTGACCGAATCCTGTCCGGATAATCAGAATGTCTGAATTTTCGAAATGAACCAAAAAAAAAATGTTGTTTGGGTTCATAATAAATAGAAAAACTTGCTAATACAGTTAACAAGTCACTTTTGTGGTTAAATAAAACCATTAATTAATATGAGCTTATAATGTATTTGAATGAAAGAATATACTGTACAATTTATACATTATGTACCGGTTAAGAGGACTCCGTTCAGCCTGTCCTATCAACGCTTTTGTTTGACAAATATTGACAAATCCGGATTATCGACGGTCCGGATTTTAACATCCGGATTATCGATGCTCTACTGGTATATGGTTCTACTAATTTTCTTCATGTGTTCTAAATTCTGTAACAATAGCATAGTATAATGTAGATTAAAATATATTTACCATATAAGTTTTATCAATAGCAAATATAAATATAGTATGACTTTTTTATTTCGTTAATAAAAAATATTTTTTTACATCTTTAGTTAGTCCATAGATTTATGTAGCCGCTACGGAATAGTTCTATTTTTAGACATATTATGGACCTTTTAAAAGATGCAGCTACGTCATGCAACTGATTTATTAAAGTTTAAAGCTATTTTTTATCGAATTAAAATATATCCGTCCTTTAATATTTTTTATTACATAAATATTCATTTTAAACATTTACGCATAGTTATATGATCATGTTAACAATATTTTATATACTTTATGACTTAAACAAATACGTAGGTATGCCATAGAATTCGTTTTTATTAAACTTATTAAGACAACATCAGCAGAAGTAATACCAAAATGAATCCAAATCAAATAATAAAGTTGTTTAAATAGTTTCAGAGCTACTTACATTATTATTTTATTTAAGAAACTCAGTTTGTTATAAGAAATGTTTCAGTTAGTATTTAAGTATGGGTAAGAATTTGTAGGTACCTGATGTTACCCATGGTTAAAACCAAAAATGCCATTTATGTTCTGTTGTTCATACTAATAATTTGTTTCTTTGATTTTATTTTTGTGTTTTATTGAATTAGTAAATGATTGTAATAAAATGTTTTAATATTTTTGTTTTTTATTTTTTTATCCTCTGAATTTAACCTCCAAAAGAGAAGTAGGTATATTTGAAGTTCATGTATCTTTGTCGGTACGATAATACGTCAAATAAATAACGTCCAAAATGTGCCTAAAGTTGCGTTTTAATCATCCGCTTCTGCTTCCGGAATTGTCGGTTTAGTTGTTTTAACCTGTCAGATTAAAACAAGAAAACCGACAATTTCGAAGTAGAAGCGGATAATTAAAACGCACCTTAAATAACCTTACCATCTGGTTCTCTATTGTTTTTAATATGTATCCGGATATTAACCTTCTCCTGAGTTAACCCACATTACCGTATTAAATGCATTTCTCACATCCACAGTGATCCGAATTAGCCATATGTTTCTTTGCTCCCTGATCGCATTTTCCTTTTCTACTGGACCGTCGATCTTCCCTGCCTAAAATCAAACTGGTTTTTTCCGTTCTCTATTTCTTGTATCAATCTACGATGAGGCCTGTTTTTTTTCAACCTCCGATATACCATAAAGGAAAGACAGGTGAATATAAAAAAATGATTTTATTACCAAAAGTAATGTACAATAAAGGTTACTTCTCTACATAATCACCTTGACGGTTCAAACAGTTGTCAAAATTGTGCACAAGCAGGGCCGCCGAGAGCCAGACCGGGCCCCAGGACAATTCTCCAGATCGGGCCCCGCGACAATTTTATAGCAAAAAAATTCTCCTCCTCTATTTGAATTTCCCTTAAAAAAAAGGTCTTCAACTAAGAACTTCCCAATTTCTCCTCCTCTTCTACTTGAATTTCTCTCTAAAAAAAAGGTCTTCAACTAAGAACGTCCCCCTCTTCTGTCGAACATCTGCAAGTAACAAACACCACCGCTGGCCGGGCCCGCCCCGGGAATTAGTCCTGGCTGCCCCCCTCTAGTCGGCCTTGTGCACAAGCTTTGCAATACCTATCCTCTTCATAAAATGTTGCCGACAGTTACTTGAAGTGAGTTATGATGGTTTCTTTCTTTGAGCTCCTCGTCAGTTTGGTAAAAGCCACTTCTTCACTTTAGGGAAAATATGGTAGTCATTCAACGCTATGTCGGGACTATATGGTGGGTGTTCAAAAAGGTCCCATTGAAATTGCTCAAGGAGCCGTTGGCTTATACGAGCACTATGAGGATGGGCATTGTCATGGATGAGAACAATTCCAGAAGTCAGCATGCCTCTTCTTTTGTTTTAAATAGCTCTCCGTAAGCTCTTTTCATAGACTCAATTCATTCTTCGATGAATTTCCGCTGCAATATTCCTTTCTACACTTGGCGGGAGAATCAATGCAGACAGCCATGTTTACGGGACTGCAGCTCAACAAAAAATGGCGTGTTGAACTAAACTTGGTAGTGATAGAGTGTGTGGAAGGGAAGAGGAGCAGTCGCTTACTACTCACGCCAGCCACCTGCCGCATGCCTGGCCTTTATACTGTGCGATCGGAAGTTGAAAACAGCCCTCGTATTTTTCACCATCCCCTACGTAGAGCTTGCTTATTGTATAGTAAACATATAGGTGTATGTTTTCCATTTCTCCGGGAATTCTTGTTTACTTAGTAAATATATACTTTAGCAGCATTTCTGGCCTTTTCTGTCCACCTCCTTGATTGCTTCTGGTGGTATGCCAGCCGATCCTGGCGACTTGCCTGTCTTCATGCCTTTTATCGCATCCTTTAGTTCTTCCTGCGTAAAAAGTATGTACTATATTTTCTTTCTCCTATGATCCTTCAGTTCTTCCTGCGAGAATAGTACTACAATTTCCTTCTCCCTTGTATATGCCTCTAGAGTGGTAGTACCCCTAGTCGGGAAGAGTTTTCTGGCTATTGATATATTGAAATGATTTATACAAAAAACCGCACAAAAAGAATGAAAATATAAAGCTATAACACGTTTTTTTTTGCATCCAATGCATTAAAAAGTTCAAGCCGCTTAGGCTTAGCTTACGCCGATTTGTTCTAATGAGAAACATTATTCTGCTCAGTGGCGGCTGCATAAATGCTGTAGAGCTACAGAACTGCCAAAAAAATGCAAGTAGGTGTCTCATCTGCATTTCTCAGAAATTAGTTTAGACATTCTAAAATATTGGTAAAATAGATTTATTATTAGACTAAAAAAGGCATTTAAATATAAACATGTTTATTTAAATACACAAAACTCAAAATCGATTCTTAAATGAACAAATAAATAAATAATTTTTAAACATTATTTCATAAAATATAAAAACGATTTGCTTCTTTTCCACTAATTACTTTAAATGCATAAATCTGAAACAAATTATAGGTCATTAAAAGAATTTATACAAATTATTTTATTAACAATAGTTTTATTAATATTGTTTCAAATTAACTAAGTATAATAAAACAAACAATACTGTCATGAAATTCCTAAGTCCGACTCTGTCTAAGCCCGCGGCCTTCACGTCTGTGGCAGCCGACTCATGCTAGAGGCGATGGAATATTCTGGGAATGCCGCTGAGGCTCGAGAAACGGGTAGAACGGACGGAGTGTGCCGTTGAGTCATAGAGATGGAATTTTCGGGAGCACCCAGAAACGACGAGCACGGAATTGGCTTGGTATAAATAGGCGCACAGTTTAGTTTAGTTCAGAGTATTGGAAAGAAAAGTTAAAGTGTAATAAATAAATTAGAATTGTTAGTTAGTGTCTAAGTATTATATAAATTAAATAGTATGTCTTAAATAAATTGTAAATGTGTGTTTTAAATAAATAAACTATAAATGTCAGAAGTGGGATTATAAATAAATTAGACTATCATTACATTGGTGTCAGAAGAGGGATTATAAATAAATAATGGGTAATAATGGCTAAAAGACTGTGTGATTCAAAAGTAGCCGAGCTACGTCGGGAGTTAGAAGATCGGGACCTGGAGACGGCAGGGAAGAAAGCAGAACTGGCAGAGCGGCTTAAAGAAGAATTAATAAGTGAAGGTTTGGATCTGGAAACGTACCTTTTCTTCGGATGATACATCTTCTGCTATAATTTCTTCAATTTCTTCCGATATGGAAAGTAAGATGATCTCCATGAAAACCGATATTTCTTCTGATGTCTCCTCTATAAAAAATGATATTTCCTCCTTAGAAACTAAAGTTTCTTTAGACATTACTTCCTTGGAAACTAAAGTTTCTTCTGACATTACTTCCTCAGAAAGTAAAGTTTCGTCCGATATTTCTTCCTTAGAAGAAAAGGTGACTTCTGACATATCTTCTTTAAAAACCGAAAGTTCTTCCGATTTAGAAAACAAAATCTCTTCTTTGAAGATGAAATTTCTTCTGATATGTCTTCGCTAAAAAATGAAATTTCTGCTGATGTGAAAAATAAGATGAGTTCCGTTGAGAAGAAAATAATGTCCTCCGTTGAAGAGAAAATAAAAGAGATGGAAAAGAAGATAGAAGAACTGGAACATTCAGACCCGACCAAGGACGGTGAAATAAAGTGTCATGAGGTGGAGTCGAAGTTAAAATTGGAAGGAGCTGTAAACTCTGCTCGTGTTAAAGCCCCAACCTTCGACGGAAAGATGTCATGGACCAATTACCTTAAACAGTTCGAGACAGCTGCGAGGGCAAACGAATGGTCTGAGAGAGAAAAGTCAAAAAATATGACAATCGCCCTTCGAGGAGACGCTTTAGATGTCCTTCAGACTATACCCGTGGGAGAGACAGATTATTTTGAGCAACTCAAAGAGACTAAATATGCGATATGGTCACGAACATTTGGAGCATCTATACCAATCACAGTTAAAGAATCGCAAACAGAAACAAGACGAGACTCTTCAAGAATACGAAGTAGATATTGCCAGTTGGTGCGATTTGCTTACCCATCAGCTCCGGAAAACATGATGGAATGTTTAGCAGTCCAAACATTTGTTGATGGACTCCGTGACCACGAGATGCAGAAAACACTTCGCTTAGCCCTCCACAAAACATTGGTCGATGTCTTATCCGCTGCTTTAGAGTATGAGGCAGCTACACATGTTTCTGGAGGATACAGTAAAGTGAGAACTGTAAGAGAAGAAAACGTAGAAGATAAACTCGACCAACTAAATAACATAATGAAGACCTTTATGATAAAAAGATGAAGACAAAGACCATCAGATGCTGGAATTGCGGTGAACTGGGACATGTACGCAGTTTGTGCAAACGCCCTAGGGTCCCAACAATACGCCGCAGGAAAATTAGAGCGGGTCGGCCTAGAGGGGGCAGCTTCGACCCGAAACCGTTCCAAAGACCCTCTCATACTGATAGCCTCTTTGAAATGTCGCGATGATAGTGTATACGTAGATGGCGAAGTAAATGGTAAAAAGTATATACACTGTTGGTGGATACTGGAGCAACTAGGACCATTATACGACCAACAACCATAAAGAACTGTAAGAGACTTCTACCAACAAGATTGCGACTGCGGACTGCCACAGGTGAAAGTGCCAACATCCATGGGGAAATCCAGGTTCAATTGGGAAAGTTCACTCAGACTGTTATTGTCGCTGATATCGAAGATGTTATTCTTGGAATGGATGTAATGAACTTAGGATGGTTTCCAGTTAGACTTTAAAAACAGAGTGATCAACGTTGATGCCGAAGAGGTATTCCTACATCCATATGGGGACAGTACAGTTGCTGTACAGGAGGATACGGTGGTATCTGGCAGAAGTGAAACCGTTATAGCATCACGGCTAGTACATTTACATGCATCGCCCTGTATACCTGAATAGGTAGATATTATCTCAAAAAGTGCAGAATTTAAAAACAAAATTGACTTGTTTTTGGATTTTTCCAAAAATTAATAAGTAGGTACCTAGGTAGGTACTTTCTCTTTTATCTAATGTATTCCTTACTTTTAACTCACAGTGTAGGTATATATAGGT